TTCTTTTTTGTATATACTGACGCTAACATGGCCCACTCTTGTGTCTCTCTACCATTATTATCCCTCGCATATGACAGACGATTCCGTAGACCCCTCAAACAACCGATGCCGCAAGCCCGGAGACGACGGTGAAGCATGCACAGTACAGGCCACCGTATGTGGAGACGGTGTCAAGACCGACAACGAAGAGTGTGAAACCAACCCCGACGGATCAGGCGATATCAGAACCAGAAACGATGATGACTATAGCATTGGACCCAATGACAGCGACGACGACAACTACTGTGACGCCAACTGTGAATTGCAGCCCATCCGAAACTGCAGAGTATGTGACCAGCTTTGAGGCTTGCTTTATATGGTTGTGTCATTACTACCATAGCCATCAGAAGGAATAGAGCACTTGTTTGGAATACTGCAATTGAAAGGATAGGTCTTAGGGTAGACTATGTATGAGATTTGATACGTTCATGTGCCATACTTGGAATATCCATAGGGTGACCAATACTGTTGACTCGATACCTGTAAAGATCCGTCGTGCGTGCTGTATCTTTGGTGAAGATATCTGGTATCATTACAGTAGCGTGTGTATGGCGAAGGATCACATGCATGAGATATTACCCAACAGCAATCCCTAGCAGTATTGAAGACAAACAACTACAGCTACAACCACATCTTCATTCACTTACTTATTTTCAATGACACATGTACACATTGACAGCACAACACTGACCCGGAGTTTCATACTCAACTAGGCATCTGTGTGATCTAAGAAACACTGCCATTCAGCGCACGAGCCTACCACACGAGTGTAAAGGACATGCCTTTTTAACTATACTCGTGAAGCGTAAAGACCAGATCTTCTTTTCTTATACTCCTAAGATAGATTGTCTAATCCATCGTCCTTCTCATATCACACAGGCCATCTCGACGTCGCGTTGTGTGTGCAGCAGCGGAACGTTCACGCGCACATACACACGCACGCGCGAGAAGACACCCCGAGGAGCCGACTGCGACGACAGCAATGGAAATGCCATCACCTTTGAGTATGTTCTGGATGTGCGTACCAGTGACTACATGGTGTACATCACACACGTACACATCTTATGTACTACTATGACGTATTGGCATTAATAACCACTTACGGCGCATGGTCTTGTTTTCAGTCAGAGTTTATAGTTCGCTCGCTCACCTGGCGCTACTGTTTGTTTTGTGCGTTTGCAGCTCCGATGACATGGCCACGATCACAGATGATGGTATCTGCGTATGCGAATGCGGCAACGGCGTTGTGGATACTGGCAACGGTGAAGAGTGTGACGAGGGTCAAGACGCGGTAAGTATTACTGTGAGGAACTCTTGAATGTTATGCGAGTATGCATACATGCCTTGCTTGCCTGATGAAGATCACGGTACGAGTCGGCACAGTACAATGCGGTCTTCCATGCAACTGGTGCACATTTGTAGACGCCCCAAGAGTACAGTGTGCTTCCCTATGCGTGGTAACCTCTAAGTTCATCCTTGCACTCTGATCCGACTGCTTAAATACGCTCACCAGCATCATCTGTGCATAGTGTTTGTGTTTGTGCTATCGGTGTCACCCACTTGCACACAGGAGTACGTAGCCATTCACATCAGAGATCATCTCATGCCATCCCCTAGGTAGACCATATCAGACAGTTTATATACTAAGCACTACCCTTCGCACATGCTATCACTTAGTATCAGGATCACGTACCACTACTCACACATACTATCGCTTATTAATAGGCTCATGTACTACTCTTCACACATACTATCGCTTATTTAGAGGCTCATGTACTACTCTTCACACATGCTACGGCGCAATAACAGGTACTCAGCTCAACCGAAGTGTGCCGACACTGTGAGATCGTCGAACAAGAGTGTGGCGATGGTACTGTAGACACCATCCGCAACGAACAATGCGACCCGCCATTCAGCGAGGGAGGCCAGATCAGCTCAGTCAACGGCAATGTCCAGTACTGCCGTGACAACTGCAGGTGTGTTAGGACGGCCTTAGGGTGGATGGCTCCGGAGTGGTCATTGGTTAAGTATATGTTTTAGTTTGAATAGCTTTGTAGTAGTCCTTAGCTGAAGTATACGCCTTAGTTATTTGCGGCCGATTGAACACTACACTCCTCCCGTGTCAATCCAAGGTAGTATCGTGCATCTATGATCAGGTAACCTGATATGATGTCGAGCAGTGTATTGTGACGGTTTACAGAGCGTTAAAACTTGCTAAGGCAGCGTACAATCGATATTTAACTCTCTGAGATCCGCTCGAGTCCAGTTAAAAATATGAGCTGATATTCCTGCTTCAAGCATACTCAACCCTAAACCCCGAACCCAAAACCCTACACCACAGAACCGCCGCAGCAGGTGAGTGCGAGTTCACCATCGCCCAGGGCAAATGCCAATGCACTATAGACAGTCCCATCCAAGGCACCAGACAGGTGCGCACTGTCATCGATCAGCAGGAAGAGCCGCAGGGTTACATGGGAGGGTGTCCGGAGGAGGAAACCGTGACGGAGGACTGTGAGTGTGAGTCGTGTGTGGGTCAATGGCAGGACTATAACTTTGCTGATGGCCGTCCCCGGTGTCAGTTCGACGGCACAGACTGCTTGCAGAAGGAACGCTTCGTCAGAGTTAGCGGAGACGGCAGGTGTGTATATGACTGCAGTTTTATTGGTTTTTATTCAGATTCCGACTAAAACATAAATATTTTTTGTCTAGATATATACCATGCCCCTGCCCCCTTGAGACTTGTAATACAAACCTGGGATCGCAGCGGTTGTGCGATATCATCACGGCGTGAAGGTGTAGGTTTCTTTCTCGCAAGACATGTATATACCTGCGCCTATTAAGGTTTAGAGTTTAGTGTAGGGTTATTTCTCACAAGACATGTATATGCCTGCGCCTGTGGCATCGAAGAGGTGATGACAATGTTCTGACAACCCTACTACAGTATCTGCGAGAATCAGGACACCTCGGGAGAGTTCTTCAGAATCAATTCACACAGAGACATCGCAGGCCCCAATGGCTGCACGGCTAACGGCGCATGTGGTATGCGTGCTTATTATATAATGTATAAGGGTTTCACTTCCGTGACGGCTGTTGTATCGTTGATTATATACAGGGACGTCATAAAGTGTCTACTTGGCTACAATACGACATATCCGTTTATTGACACTTTGCTTGAGCTTCGCTTTCGAGTTCTGTAACGATTGGCATGTTCATATCAATTCAAAACCTTGCCAATTTGGAGCTTTATTTCAATCCATAGCTCACACACAGATACAATCGTACTAATGACACATGCTCATCTCTATCATTCACAGTTGCTTGCGAAGAGAATTACAAGAAGAAGCAGTGTAACGTACTTTGTGGCACCGGTTCTGAGGTCGGCTTCTATACCATCACCACCCAACCCGGATACGCCTCCACTGCTGGCAGACAGGGTTCCGAACTTCAGTGCGAGTGCAGAGAAGAAGGTGACGCATGCACGAGCGACACGTGGGTAGAACTGCCCGACAGCGAGTGCGGAGTCGACGGCTCCAACAGCAACAACCCCTGCACGTGCGAAGGTGTGTGTATGCTACTCACTTCATTGCTAAGTGAGTCGATAGCAGGGCTAGTTAGCGTGTGAGATAGTCGCGTGCGGTGGTTTTGTGTTGTGTTTGGGCGATTTCGTAGGAGATGAGTTGACATTTAAGTACATTCAATCAGGTAGAGAACGGTCTTCTTGCAAGAAGAGAGACAACCTTGCCGATTGATAAATTCAGTTTCCACCATAGCCACATAAAAAGCTAGTGGCTCTATGCCGTATGTTCAAGCGACTATCACATTGTACTCAACAACGAAACAGGTAATGAGCAGAAGGCCCGATTCGTGCGTGAGTGCACCTACGAGGTAGACTTCCCTACAGCCCTGGGACTGCCATTTGTGGATTTGGATATCGCCAAATTCTATCGCCCACCTAATCAAAATACTTTCGAAGACGGGTTCCCCGTTGACCAAAGCTCTCTGCAATACAATCTCAAAGCCATCGAGACAACCGCCAAGTTCGACCTTGAGGGCCGAATCAGGGTTGTGAATGAGGAGGTTAGTGGTGTCAGATACACAGCAACATTCCGTGACCCGGAAATCACAGTCGCGGTGAAGTCGGGCGGAGCGCAGTTGGTGGCATCGAAATACGGTGACCAGTCGGAATACTCTGTGATTCAGGCCGGCGCAACCAAGAACTTCATCTTTGACTACCCAACGCAGACACACACCTCCAGTGTCACGCAAGGGCTAAACCAGATCACAACCAACAGTGAGAGTGACGAACGACTGCGATTCACTGTGGATGGCGATGCAATCGGTACGGTGACCGGTGGCGGCAACCAGATAAACGAGATATCAGGCTCTTACGGCGTGAAGCTCGTTGCCAAGTTCGAATACGAAGGGTGTGATCTTGGTGATGCGTACGAAGCTAGTCAGTACTCCGAGTGTGATGCCGATACAAAGAGTTCATAGTTCCAACGATACACTATGAGACTTGATGGTCCCTATATCGTGTTTGCAAAAATTTCAAGCGTTCCTACCCTGCATTATTTTGTATCCTGCATTCCTACTACAAATTTATGTCGCACACCATCTTTCGCGGGTCGAGAATATTCCTACAAAACATAATAGAAACTAGGCACTAACATAGACTACTAGAACAAGAAAACCTGCACCCAATGTTAATAAACTTGTATCGTACTCATGTACGTTAAGACTATACTCAATGGCCGACCAAATTTCAAACACAATGCTATATAATGATATCGACCTAACCAATTTCTTGTGCACACCTGATGGTTATGGATCTCTTAAATATCATATAATATGCTCTACTAATTTACCCTCTTTGACGGTACGGCGTTAGTACAGTGCTATTAACTGTATATACCTTACAATACATATGCATGCACGTGTAACCGATTGATTCAATCGATGTGTAGTGGTGACGACCCGTGAACACCTCTTGTTACTTGTGTATGCTAATAAAGCCACTATATATTGTGTATGGCTCCGTATGATGATATAAGAGTGTTGTATAGACGAATACGTAAAAAATCGGCGTCATCCCACCTTTACTGGCCTTGAGATATCGGGTTTTAATGGTTCTCAACATTGTGACCGTCTATTTATAACGGTGTGAAAGGGTGTTGTCTCTCTCTCTCTCTCACTCGAGAGTATAGAGATAACTAAAATGATAAGGAGATCACGTAGTCTCTGAGCGTAATAAAAAATTGGGGAAAATAGTATTGGGGGTTTGTACTCATTCCGTATTTATCAATAGTGAATCGGGACAACGTATAAAAGAGGACTAGAAAATAAAATAAAATAAATAAATACCCCCCCAGTCATAGGCTTCTAAAATAAACAGTACATCCAAAACCATTCCCTTATCCTGATTTGTTCTCAGTGTTGGACTGTTGGTCTATGATACTTAAAACGAATATACTTGTCGACCATATTAATAAACTAGCTAAATCAAATAGGATGTCATCAATAACGAAAATCCTCACTCAAGGTGCAGCAATATTCTATCTGTCGTTTGCTTGTGGGATTTACCTGCCAATACTGATAAACCAGGAGCCTCTATGGGTACAAGCCACTGGACCGTCTTGGTCCGAAACACCTGATATAACGAAGCAGGCTATACTACATCTCACTAAGGTATGATTTTGTTTCCAATATTCCAGCAGGAGAGTACAACACGTTCTTCAAATTAGTCATTGTTTCACATCAACACTATGAACCACTCAATGTTGAATGTATTGATCGTAAATCCAATCCGCTACAAATTTTGCTATACATCATAGAGACACGCACACACATACACGTATACACACACGCATGTCTACGTGAATATATACACACACACACACATACACTCAAACACACACACACACATACACTCAAACACACAGACACAGACACAGACGCAGACACAGACACGCGAACATATATATATATATATATATACATACATATATATATATATATATATATATATATATATATATATATATATATATATATATATATATATATACATATATATATATATATATATACATATAGGATCTATGAATATAGACATGCAGCACGCCATCCATACACCCCTCTCACAACATATGATTAAGCCTAGTATTTCGGTGGCTATATCTGTGGACTGTATTTATCTAGACGTACACTATCGCGCTAAAGGTCAAGTCCCACACACCCTATCACATCGTAGGTTCAAGCCCAGGCGATGATCCTCATAGCTCTAAGCATCGCTATCAGTGTGTTCTACTACAGCCAGCCTCGCGCTCTGTTGTTCATATCCGTGTTTTGGGGTATCAATATATACACGCACTTCCACACACCTTGGCCCAATGATGTATTGTTTCTCAACGAGCGGATGAAGGCTATAACTGTGGCAGGAGTGCATCTGCCTTCACAAGTGCCTCTCGATATCTTGCTAGTACTGGCGGGGCTGATAGGCTTATTAGGAGACGAGCAGGAGACGACTGTAGTCGGCAAAACAAAGCAAGAATAAAACAAACCGTTTGTGGTTCCATATTGGGATCTCTGCGTTTGTGTGATGTGCCTCCGTTGATGTTATATATTTCTGCAAAATTTTCAAATGCCGGATGGTACTAACCGCCTGCATTGGTGCCCTTGTAAAGGCGCGCAGCTCTTTCTGATGCGGTTATGAAGGACGCGCATACAAGCAAGTATCCATTCGTGTTTGGAAAATTGAAAACGTTAGATTGATTTGCTTCGGGACTGCCTATGACAAGTCTGTGTGCCTGCTGGGGCTTACAGTTAATTCAAATATGGAAGCGACAACGTAGGTGGTCATGTATCAATAAGAGTAATCACTTGGGTTATTGACGATGCAGACTTGTCATGTTATATGCATTTTCAATAGTACGAATCACTTGGATGATCGCACCAGCCATCTCTTTTACAGAGTGAGGCATGCCGCTTTTCGGAAATTGCGGTTTCAATTCCGGGCGTACAGGCATTTATGTGTGTTTACGAAGGATTCTGTGAAGATACGGCATACGCTGCGTGGGTAGATTTATTCACCCTTTCACCCTCATGCGCCAACTGCCAACCCCTGTTAGTCATGCATGCATTCTCCTGGTTTCTACCAGAGTGCACTAGTATATACGGCGGTGCTGTAACGTCAGCCACTTGCCATCTCCAGTCTCTTTAGTCTCCGTTTGCGCAGCGCAATATTCAGTCGGCGCCAGGCCGCTTGGCAACTTTGAGTGAACTACGCAATACAGAATAATGGGAAGAACAAAAAATTGGCATGTTGGGATTAGATTTCCACGTGTGAAAATGCTGCATTCGCGGTAGCTACACCAACCTGGAAGGCGATCGACCTCTATGGGTGTTACAGGGCCCTCTGGCATTGTCTCTCCAGCAATAGTTTTCTCTCATAACATGATTTAATTCTCCATCCAGCGACTATTCTTAGCGGGCCATGCATGTTAGTAGCATGGACACGTTGTCATCCCTTGACACGCTCTTCCAGAACAAAGACAGACCACGAGAGCATAAACGAAATTTGAAGGTTCAAGTGGTACGACATAATTCTACCAACCACTCAATGCTGTGGTAGTCGAAGGACAATGTTGCGTAAGACCATCTGACCGAGATACGACTCAGCGAACACCTCCACACTCCAATGAAAACCAGATCGCCGTACATACAACGAGATACCGATAGGCAATACAAGCTCATCGGAGAGTTCACGGATTGCACCACAGCACACAGCGCAAAGCAATGGCGAGGTATAACAAATTACGGAGACCATACGTGATCGCATTTGTGGGCTGAGACATAAATTGTATAGTGGGATGAGCTCGGTAACACACCTTGTCGTCGTACTTGAACGAGGCCTGTCGCACCTTCCAGCACCGTTCAATGGCGTGTCTGGCGGCGGTGTACTGCTCCAATTGGATCATCCCGTGCGACAAGTGGAGTAAACACATGTACTCTGCACACCAATGAAAAAAGTAGGTGAACGAGTCAGCAGCTAATCAGATGGCCTGAATGTGATTACTTAACACCAGAGCAAACGTGTGTACTAACAAGAAACATGCGGCATGAACCAAGAGATAGTGCAATAAGCGATGAAGCAGCAGAAATGAAACAAAGCGTATTCACCGCAGTGTTCACACGCATGCGATGGTCGACTCTGACAGTCTAGCGGTACCTGTACATGCTTTCATAGACAGATGGGAATAATGCATTTCGTGCGTTTGCCCGTGACAAATAGTTGCAGAGCCCGGGATACTATTCACAACCACGATACGTTTGTACTCGAATTAGGGAAACCAGCAATACAAACTTCCACGAACCAAGATAGGTGTTTCCCATTCGTTGCGCAACTCGCATCTGTTGCACTCCGAGATGGAACGCCCTGATGGCCTGCGGAGACCAATATAAAAAGAAAAGCATCATATCATTCTGTCAATAAGGTTTAAAAAGACTGCAAATCATCAAATATCCGCGAAGATCTGGACAAGGTCGAAGTATATTTGAATGCCAATCGAAGAAATGTAATCAAACTATTCATCTAGTGAATGCGCGCCGCGAAGATATCGAAGAGTAGTATTGGCGGGAACAAATAAAGGTTTTGACGAGAATGGATCCTGTTTTAAACGAAGCAATATGTCACAGTAATGACTTACGTGACTGCGATCTGTATCACCTAGTGCGGAATGGGCACCGCCCAATGTCGAGAGCCACAATCCGAAAAAGTGGAACTGGGTATTCAGGCGTAGAAGTACATGGAGCTTGCCGTACCTAGAAGTCCAGAACGGGACGATCAAGCTCAGAGTTAAGACGCAATATCAGGCTAACCAGGGTTAATAGACAACGAGGTAAAAAAATTGTCTATCTACGACGCAAATTGGTTCTGACAGGAGAAACGAGAGCGAAGACTGTGCCTCAAAAACTCGATTTCATATCTAGTGCCTATGCAGTCGAGGAACAGCTGCACAGCTGAAATATCCAGGAGTAAACCTTTGGGAATGTAATGAGACCAAGTGTTTTATATCCTTACCACTTTTTGGCGGCCTGTAGCTCCCATGTACGATACGGCAGCGCTCTGATGAGTATGATCAATTGGGACCATTTCTGTATCTACAAAGAAATACAGATACAGATACAGGAGGGTGTTTCGTTATTAATATATAGTCGTCGAACGAGCCTTTCGTTGTTCTGTGGCTCAGTGCAAATAATCGCAACTGGTCTCGAGCGAGTAATTGGTATAATATAATTAGTGGAAGAGGGAATTCGCTTTACAGTACTATATCGCCCTTAATGTTGCAGTACATATGAAGGGCTATCAAGGTCAAGCGCAAAGCTATTTCATACGTAGATTGGCACAAATTCTGGTGTCAGATTGGTAGAGACTCTCATACCCAAAACCAACACATATGTGATCTGCGCATAGTTTCTAATACATTCGTAACCATGGGAACCGGCATCAAAATCCCTTTCCCCCGTCAAGTCAGAGTTGCTCTATACGTGTTGGAATGCTCTAACCTTGAAATATAGTATAGCGAATCGGTGAACAAGTGCAAAGATACCTGTGGGAAAGCGCGGACAAACTTAAAGGCAAACTGGTATTGTGCTTCATCCTCCTGCAGCAGCCTGTCAAGCTCATACAGATGATAGGCATCTACCAACCACAACTGAACATGTCTGCGAGTGTGGCAAGGAATGGCAGACAAATCGGTCATCACTAAAAAAAAGGTAAGACATATCACACGCACCATTGATAAAAGGTGAAGTACGCCCTTGTTTGTTTTAAATCCAGCGACAAGAAGCCAAATCTAGATAAGCACTCGTATAAACGTGGTTACATGGAATACGATTGAATTGTATGAGCAAATGGCAAAACAACCCACCTGCCGCGAATCCGTATATTGTTGAATCGGCCGATGCGGGTTTCATAAATCAGCGCAAGACCCTCCATAGCAATGTCCACTAAACACGCGTCTAAGAACAGATCTCAAAAGGACTTTTCAGAAAAAAGCAGTAGCGAACGTCTACCACATCATCTCATGCTCAAGTTTCTTCTAGTCACACGGCTACTCTGCAGAACAAGTGAGTCAAATCACTCCGCCAATATAAGATTATATAACTATTGAGAATAAAATATATTTATGAATATATATAAAAATAATCATATACAATTATATATATATACATAAATATATACATATATACATATATATATATAAATATAAATATATATCTATCTATCTATATATGTATATATATATATACATATATAGTATATATATATATACATATACATATATAAATACACACACACACACACACACACA